GATGATCCCTTCAGGACCAGTGGTGTGAGTGGCATTGCTGGGAGGGTAGAGGGAGAGTGGGTTGGAAAGAGGGAACCGATTACAAGGATCTATATGTGACCTCCTCCCTGGGGGACAGACAAAAAAGAAATGAGAAGATGCTACCAAGGGCTCAAGTAGAAAGGAAATGTTTTGAAAATGATGCTGGCAACAAATGTACAAATGTGCTTGACACGATGGATGTATGGATTAGTAAAACAGTTGTACGAGTCCCCAATAAAATTATTTAAATACTTTGGGGAAAAAAAGAAAAGAAAATTATCTTCTCTAAGAATTTAAGAGACTAAATATCTGAATTCATAGCATCAACTTTAGGACAAAGTTTTCTCTCTCTGTTGGAAGGTCCTGGTCTCCTTTGAACATATGTGGGCTTGGTGGCCCTTAGAGACCTCCATCTATCTTGACATCAATCTTCCCTGAATCCAGAAGGTTCCCAGCATAAGGACCATGGGTCCCAAGAATGCACTTGACTCATGGCCCTTCTTCCTTTTTTTTTTTTTTCCCCAGCCCCGACAAGCTCCGGAAACAGCAATCACACGCGCCGCCAGGTGGCGACTGCGACCCCCGACGGCGAGACCCCCGCGCCCTCCCCGCGGCACGCACACACACCCCCTGACCCCAACCGTGGCGCCTCGGGCTCCGCTGAGCTTCGAGAGCCCCCCAAGGGCCCCCGGCGCAGCCCCCGCGACGACGACGCCGTGTCGCCGCCGACGCCCGTCGGGGACGCCCGTCGGGGCCCAACCGGGGGAGCCCGGCCGCCCCGGCCCCGGCCCCGCGGGTCAGTACTCACGTGAGGTAATGGCCCACAGAGCCCGGGAAGCGTCTTCTCTTTTCCGGCGGAACTTTTAAAGAGGGTTGTGGTGACCTTGAGCAGAAACACCCAGGCGGCCTGAGAGAGCAGCGCGAGGAAGAGGAAAGCGAGGGCTCGGCCGGGCGGATTCGGCCTCGTCAGACGGCAGAGCAGCAGGGCCTGAAGGGAGAAGCTGAGAACGCTCGCTGGGCGGGAAGGAAGACAGACGTTGCAGTCGAACCCCGAGCCAGCGAGTGCGGGCCCTGATTTCTTCTCAGTCGAACCCCGAGCCAGCGAGTGCGGGTCCTGATTTCTTCTCAGTCGAACCCAGAGCCAGCGAGTGCGGGCCCTCATTTCTTCTCAGTCGAACCCAGAGCCAGCGAGTGCGGGGCCCTGATTTCTTCTAAATCTTCTGATCTCTTATAAGTGGGTGCAGGCCCACCCCACAGGGAACGAACCCATGAATGGATCAGGGCTGTGACCTACCTGATAAAGGCTGTGACCTGATTAGGCATCTCACTCTAGTTACCTAATTGATTACCACGGATTGGCTGATCACAGTAGATCGGATCGTGGAGGATGAGTAATTGCATCATTAGATAATTACCAAAAGTACTGAGGATCATGGCCCAGCCAAGTTGAGGTTCTTCAGAAGTGCAGGGATACAATTTGATTCATGACAACATGCAACTTTTTGACAGTAGTTACATGAATCAGCTGGGTAACCCTCCTCGTAATGCATATCTTTTTTCCTATCACTCAGTGTTCCTTAAAGAGTAAGCATGCTTTTTCTCCCTCTCTTCCTACCCTGGGAACCTCTAATAAACTTTGGTTTATATGTATTTGCCTTTGTCTTTTTATATAAGTGAGGTCATAAAATATTTGTCCTTTTGTAATTGACTTATTTCACTCAGCATAGTAGCTTCCAATTCTCTCCATATTGTAGCCTAGATCAAGATTTCCTTCCTCTTGCTGCCAATAGTATTTCATTGGATGTGTGGACCACATTCTATGCCCATTCATCCACTGGTGACCATTCATGTTGTCTCTACATTTGGGTTCTTGTAAATAGTGCCGCAGCGAACATTCATATACAATATCTATTTGAGCCTCTGCTGTCAAGTGTAGGCTGTAACCTAACAGCGGAATTGCTGGGTCCTGCAGTAGTTCTGTTTTGCAGGGTTTTATTCATTTTTTTTTGAGAGATTGTCATACTGTTTTCTACAATACTTGCCCTATTTTGCATCCCCCACTCTCTCAGAATCTTCACCAGCGCTTGTTATTTTCTGGTCAGCAATTCAAAACCAGCAGCCCCACAGCAAGAAAAGATGAGGTTTTCTAAGACTGCAGAGGCTCATAGTCTGAGACCCCACAGGGCAGGCAGCTCAATCCTGACCTGTGGAGTCGCTAGGAATTGAAATTGACTAGTTGATAAAAACCAAAAAATAGGAGAGCAAATGTTTTGAGAAGGATGAGCAGAACGAATGTACAAATGTGCTTTATACAATTGATGTATGTATGGATTGTGATAAGAGTTGTATGAGTCCCCAATAAAATGATTTTTTTTAAAAACCCAAAAACTAAGAGCCTGGTTTTCGTTTTTTTTGCTAATGGATTATGGATCCAATTTCCCCGTATCTTTACCAACATTTTTCCCTGGTTTGGTTTTGTTTGTTTTACCCCTATCCATCCAGTGGAGTTAAAATAATGTCTCATGGTGGGTTTTATTTGTATCTATCTGATGGTTAATGATATTGAGGTTTTGTTTTGATTTTTTAATTTTGGGGGGGTGCATTTTTTAAATCATTTTATTAGGGGTGCATACAACTCTTGTCACAATCCATACATACATCAACTGTGGAAAGCACATTTGTACATGCATTGCCTTCATCGTTCTCAAAACATTTCCTCTCCATTTAAAAATATGTTAATGTGTTTGATGAGGCAGTTCTTTTCCAGGCCAGAGGAACGGGATGGGGCGGTGAATTCCACTCAGCTTACTGTTCTCCAGATGCGGCCACTTTGTTGGTTTTAAACAAACACGTCCCAGATGACTGCAAACCTTTGGTGAATTCCCAGGCATCTGAACAAGTTGATTCGAATGCTTTTTGCCGGTTTCCCCACTGCTTTTATGGAGGAGAGGCATCGTTTTGTTTTGTTTTTTAAACACATAGGGTTTGAGATGGATTCCACACCTCTTGTGGAAGAGCCCAGATGGAAAGATAGTGAGAGATGGAAGTCAGCAAAACTCAGTGTTCCATAAACAATAACCCTCCGTGCCCTGCCCACCCCACCCCTTTCTTCCCCTCTCTCTCCCCTGGTGATCACTAATAAGCTTTGGCCACAAGGTGAAGTTAAAGGAACTCGAGAATTGCTTCTCCAACTCTGGTGAAGAAATGGGTTGTTTTGTTGCCTTTTCAAAACCGAATCTAAGAAAACACGTGGGCCCACTGTCCATGACTGTTCAGAGGCAACTTCCAATACAAATTCCGCAGCCTGAGCTGGCCTAGCCCCCCTCAGTGAGAAAATTCCCTGCTTGTGCTCCCAGAGATACCGGTGATATTAAGCCGCTGGGCGTTCCTAAATGTTCTTCCTTTATTTGTCCCAAGTAACAAGTGTTACTTAACTGGGAAACAGTCTTGAATAGGCTGACACATTTCCCCCACCCCGCCCCATTTTGTAAAAGATCTGTTTTGATTTTCTTTTCAATTAAGACATCATGGAGATATGTCATAAAAGAAATGAGGGCACCGGGAGTCGATTTACTCTCTAGGTTATCAGAGGGGATTCCTACTCATAGTGACTCTGTAGGACAGAGTAGATCTGCCTCTGTGCAGAGTAGATCTGCCAACCAAGCAGAGCAAAACTTGCCACCTGAGTGATTTCTGGAGGACATTTTAGGATCTTTCCCATCTCTTGCTATTAGAAACCAGTCACATGCCTTTGAGCACCTGTATGTACCTGTATATGTATCTGAGACTAATGTCCAATCAGAAGATTGCATCTCCTGTGACCACATACTTTTGAGCTTGGGTTTGAAGTTGGGATATTAAATGGTCGTCAGGAACTGAACCGAGACATATGGTCCCAATCTGGCTGGACCATGGAACATATTCCAGAACCAGGACATCGGATATCTCTGGGCTGTTCAGAAATGGGAGGGCAGTTCCTCAGAATAAAAAAAAATCTATGAAATTCTGCTTCCAGCAAGAGAGAGGGTGTCTTATCTTTATAAATAATTTCATTTTAAATTCAAATAGTGTGTATGAAATACTATTTCAACATGTTTCTCTTGGTATCAACTTGTCTGTTGGCAAGGAGAGACAGTGAAACATTCTTACCCACTGCCACCCTTACTAATGATTAGGTCTAACACTGGCTCTAAGTGACAACATGGCTTCAACCACCAGGAAGAGGTGGACTCGGGTCCTCTTGACCTCATTCTGTAACTAGCCAGCAGAAATCTTTGCCTGAAGCCTCTTCGAGAAGATGAAGCAGCTCAAGGAGTCTGCCACCCTACCTGAACTCTCAATCAAGTCAGTGAGTTATCTTTCTTGGCTCCTGCAAGGACATTTCAAGGAAAACACGTAAGCCAAAAGGTGGTCCCCCTTGAATGCATCCTTCAAATACGGTGGCTTCACGTAGTACCTGGGAAAATGTATTACACTAACATTTCTTTAAGAGCTCTATTTCTTTAAGACATGGGAAAACTTAATGGGAGAGACCATCTGATGAAGCCTGGGAGCCCTTATAAATGCTGCTACTCAGTGCTTGAGCTGCTGGCCTCCTTCCTAGCAGGGCAGAGGAGGTAGATGGCCATTGTTGTCACTGAATATGATTCTGCCTAATTTTTCATCCAAGTAGGAATAAGACCAGGAGGCGGTGTACATATGTTGTGGCTTTTATTGCAATTCAGGACGTGTAGTGGCAGGGGCCGGTGTGCTCACTGTCCCAATTTGCCCAGCCCCTCCACGGCGTGCGTGACAGCATTTGAGACTGTGTTGGTCACCGTCTCAGTGGCTTCCTTCACCACTTTGTCCCCTGTGTCCTGGGCTTTCTTCAAGGCATCTGCAATCGCTATCAAAAGGAAAGAGGGCGATGTGCAGGTGAGCAGAATACATTTCAAATCAAGTCTCAACTTGAGTACCTGTGGGTGGGGCTGCCTTCCCGAAGCACCCCCTGGAGGAGACTAGGGGAATAGCAACTGAGCTCTCGAAGCACCCCCTGGAGGAGACTAGGGGAATGGCAACTGAGCTCTTGTCCCAGTGAAATCAAATTTAGTTCCCCTCCCCACCAACCCCTCCAAGAACTCGCAGGTCTTCCATCCACTGCGTGTCAGCCATTCACTGATGGCAGAAACAGGGTCACACACATTTTGTTGGGAGGAGACCTGTATGGATATGAACCATAAACCGAGTAGCACTACTTTTTTTTTTAACTTCCCTTCCCCTCGTATGTTTTAAATTCTATAATTACATTTATAAAATGTTAATTCTGACAGGGCTTGGGTTTCTACTGGTTGAGATGTTCACTTCTTATCCTTCCTATTTTTGTAAAAAAAAAATCTGTTTGCATCTTTTGACCATTTTTACATTGAATTGTTAGATTTTCGTTTACCCTACCCACTGCCACTAAGTGAATTCTGACCCATAGCAACCCTGTAGGACAGAGTAGAACTGCCCCTTCGGGTTTCCCAGGTTGGAAGTCATGACAGGTGCAGGAAGCCTTGCCTGTCTCCCTTAGTGTGCCTAATGGCTTCCAAATGCAGCGCAGCGGGTAACCAGGGTTCCTTAGATTATTTTACTTAGCCATATGTAAGTCAAACCATCAGCCCTTTGTCATTTATCTAATATATATAGAATATATATATATATTCCTCCTGTCTGTTGGGATCTTCTTTTGGCTTGGTTTATGCCATGTTCCTTAATATGGAAAAAAGGGGGGAAGTTTTATAGTGTTAAATTTGCCTACTATTTCCTGTTTTCTGAAATTGTTAAAAAAAAACAAAAAACAGGCCTTCCCAACTCCAAGGTCAACACAAACTCTTCTATTTTATCTTCTAACAATTTAATAATGTCATGCGTTTCTATCTAAATCCTTTTCCCATGCAAAATGCTTGCTTTTTACATAGTTCTACCCTCAGCATACATAAATACACATGTAAACACCAGGGTAAATCCAAAAGTATTGTTACAAAATCAGACACCTTTATTAAATAAAAATTATCAAAATAAGAGGCTAGTCTTGGTTGACATAACCTTGCATTTCCATGTCTCTAAACCTACCCCCAAAAGATGTCTACCCTCTTGGATTGACACCACAACACCACGAGTATGTTACCACTGGTGAGGACGTTCCCTTGCAAGGGCCTTTGGGTTGGAGAAATAAAGAGCATTCTGAAGAGCAGGAGCAGGGCTGGGGGCTGACAGGGTACGCCTTCCCAGGGAGATCCCCCTGGGCAATGGGTGCCACGCTGGGAGAAGAAACATTGTCCTGATGGGGTGGGGATGAGAGAATCCTGAGCTTTTTCTCATTTGTAGTTTTCAACATCCTTAAAACTTCACCATAACAGCCCCCCAGGATTTCCCAGTGTCCTTCGAGGAAAATCTATCAAGATGAACTCTTAGGCCTCCCCAAGTCCAGTCACTATAACCTGCTGAGCTGACCTCTCTGCCTTAAACTGAACTTGCCCAGCAGATTCCCTGAGGAGCCACGGTTTTGATGGGATTTCTGTTGGCAGGTCTGCCAACAAGCCAGACACAGTGACAGTGCAGAGAGAGCTGGTGGGCGCCATGTGCCGAGGGCAGAGACAGGGTCACACACAGTGTGTTGGGGGGAAAGCTGAGGAATACAAACTGCAGACTGAATAGCACTACTTTTGGACTGGCCCTCCTATGTTTTCATCTACAATGACATTTATAAAAATGTATACATTTCTATATTACATATTTTGTTGCAACAGGTGGCCACATAGTCTTTTGTCACATTCCACAGAGAGGGTTATCTAGAGGGAATTGTACAGGCCAGTGTGGTCAGGGGCCTTAGATCAACATAGATAATTGTATACCAACTGGAAATACCAGGTCAGGGTTTGAACT